TGGGCGGCCGCCTTCGATTTGAACAAATTAACAGAAAATATCGGCCAGGCGCCTAGGCAGCCCTAGGAGGACTTGGCGGCTTGGTGGCGCCTAGGCGGACATAGGCGGACCTAGGCGCTCCTTGGCGGACTCAGCGGAAATTTTTTAGTTTTTTTTTTTTTAATTTTTTTAAATACTAATTACATTATTTTGTTTTCATGTTTTTTTTTTTAAAATATGTTAATTTTATTATTAAAACCTAGGTGTGTCGATTTATTATAAGTTGAGATAGTTTTATTATGTAGGTATTTAAAATAAATAAATATTAAGGTATTTAATAATGATTTCTAGGTCCCGACTAGGTCCCGCCTAGGCGCTCTAGGAGCTGGTCGAGCCCTTAGTTACTTTTAGAACACTTATGAAGTGATTTTCTTAAGTCTGTGTCCGGCTTAAATCTGTGTCCGGCTTAAGAACCTCAATCTAGCATTTTAGTAAAAGTATTTATTATTCATAACACCAGTTGTCAAGTGCAGCTTAAATGCATATGCTTCTATATAAAAATGGTCATGTTGCATTTAGTTACTATGATATTATTAGTTTGAAAGTACATGATGGATTAGGTAGATTGATCATGTTTTGTGAGAATTATTCAAATGGCTGTGGAAATAAATCATGCTTATTGGTTGTTGTGTTGATTATTTAAATGCCATGATTATTCATTCACTTGAATTTTATACACCCTCGATATTTCTTGTGATATTAGACTGTGCAATGTTGGGAGTAATAATAATAGTAACTTATGTTTTGAAGAAAATAAAGTTTTCACTAATGCCGACCCTGTCACATGCTATTTTTATTTTTAAATATATATGAGTTGTGCCTTTCAAGAAGCCGCTGGTGACTAGCCAACACATAATCTTTTAATAGTTATGTATCTATTATTTGTTTATTTTTCCACCAAATAAGGGGAATAAGTTGAATAAGGATGTCTTAAATATTCCAAATTGTCCATTTTCTATACTTAAATTGTGTTGACTTGATGGGGTTTTCCATATTATTTAGTCGCTTTTGCATTGATGTCTAGACAAGAAGCAATAGTTCATGTCGTAAATCTCCATGAGATTCTTATCACTGTGATTTTTTAAGCTGCCTTTTGACTTGTTTAATGAGAAACCTCTCGTGAACGAAACTGTAGTGGGCATAAAATACTACTAAACTATGTCTGCCAGTTTTTTTGTGATCTTTTTTTGTCAAAACTTCACTTTACCAAATTTCTCTGCCTAATTGTTAGTCATTAGGTAGTTAGCCTTTCAATGAGCTCTTTTGAAAAAATGAAAAGAAAGAAAGAAAGATGTGAGAGAATGGAATATTAAGAAATTTCTTGGCAACATGTAGCTGTTTTTTTTTTTCAATGAGCTCCTTTTTTCATTTCCATTTTTTTCTTTTGATATGTTTTAGCTGCAAGAAATTCTCCAATGCAGTGGCCATTTTCGAAGATGGGTGGTTCATCTATTTTATCTTTCCGTGGCGTTCAAGAGGAGAGAAGGACCACCGGCACAGATTCTCGTGCATCAAATCTTTCCCCGGCCATGAAATCTACAGAGGCTTTCGACTTGGCACAGGTTTGATATGTAGTACCCGTGATTTTTACTTATTGTGCAACTCTTTATTGCTTATGTTTATATCTTGATCGGATTTTTTTTTGGTCAGAAAAACATTTTTGGTGAAAATCAAGGTGGAGTTCGGCACACAATGTCGACCTATCCATCTATGCACCACGACTCGTATGCCTTGCATCGTCCGGTCACTAATCAAACGAGCCTGACTATGTCACCTGCCTCAACAACTTCTAGTTACCAGTCAGTAATTCCTACTTCCAGGCAGAACCTCATTAACTCGCAGCCTCTTTCAGTAACTCCATTCACGAACCCTGTGCCAGCCGTGCCTTCTAACAGCCCTGTTGTGGGGACCACAGATTTGAGGTATGGTAATAGAAGGAGAATGTAATAAATAAGCTTTTAATAATTATAAGATGGAATAAAGCTGTATTCATTTTTTTTTTCCCAGGAATGCTACGAGTTCTGGGGCTCAGTTGACCATCTTTTACAATGGATCAGTGTGCGTCTATGACAATGTTGCTCCCGAGAAGGTAATTGTGGATGACCACTCAAGACTCGAATCAGTGAAAATTTGTATAGAGTGATTTATTTATTGGCGTACAAGCGTCAAAACTAGAATCAGAAATAATTTAAGGTTGTGATTGGGTACATTTTTTCATTATAAAGATTTTATTTTTTTTTTTATTTTTTTTATTTTGTTGACATGATATTTGGAGATAATAATATTTAGAGAAAGGAAAAGAAATTAAGAGAGTGACTTGATATGAGATGAAAATGTGATGATGAAAGTATTGTGAATAGTGAAATTACCAATTACTTGTATCTTATTAGTCTGAGCTTATTCGTACTTGATTTATTCAATTCTTTTAATAATCCAAAAACCCTTGATTTTTACAGGCTCAGGCTATTATGCTATTGGCCGGTAATGGGCCTCCGGCGACACCCAGTACAACACCACCTCCCCCTCCGGTCCAAAAATCCATTCCTCCGGCGACACCCAGTACAACACCGCCTCCCCCTCCGGTCCAAAAAACCATTCCGATGCATAATGTTGTTGACAGGTTTTTTATGGGCCAGCCTTACTGCCCGCCACCAAATCGCTCAAGCCCGGTTCCTGTTAACCCAATTAGTGTTGCGAGGCCTGTTGTACGACCCATTAGTGTCAACAATGATGCTAGTGTGGCAAAGCCATCAGCTGTAACTATAGTACCTTCTTCGCCAAACCCCGAGCCTGTGAAAGTAGTAAATTCAATAGCATCTATTGCTTCAACTACCATTACACCAGGTATTTTTTAAAATTTCTAATAATAACTTCTAAAAATCTGATCTTTTATAGTAAGTACTTATTTTCCTGTTTTATTGGCTTGTGTGTTTAGCCATCTTCCTTTTTTTTTTCTTTTTTCTAATTTATATTTTATCATTATTTTCAGACGCCGTGCCTCAGTTCCGCCGAAAATCATTGGCTAGATTTTTGGAAAAGCGCAAAGAAAGGTGATTTTATTATTTCTTGCAGTAAGGAAAAATTCTCTATCGTTTAGTCGCGTAAATACGAATGAGTAACATTTTTTTAATTCTAGATTTAACAAAATGAGTTGATAAATAATTCTTTTTGTGGTCTAACCATGCATCAAATTAGTAGTTAATAAGATCTCTATTCTCGGGTTCAAGTCAATGGGTTCTACTGCTAGCTGAGTAAACAAGAAAATCGTGAAGCAGGTTTCGTTTGCTTGATATATGCGTCTTATTGTTTCTTAAAAAAAAAGGCTAGTTTTTTCTCGTCGAATTTTCGCATCGGATCTTAATTTCTAGCTCAAGTTCGCGTAATCCTGCAGAATTTCTATGCTCGCTTGCTTATCATTTTCTCTTTCGTTTTGCTCGATTCTTAATATTTTAAGTAAATGCCCGTTTTTTCTATTCCAGGGTGGTATGTGCAAGTCCCTACGGTGAGAAGCCAGAGAAGCCAGATTGCAATAAACCTGGAGCTGGACAACTGAAGTTGTGAACTCAATACAATGATAGTGTTTAATAGACACTCTTGTTTTGTAATGTGTTGGAGCCAGTTTTTGTTAGGGTTTGGTTGATTGTACACCAAAGAATATGCTAGCTAGGTCTGTAATTGTTGGAATTGCAATGTATAAATATCATTTTTTTGTTTTGTTTTTTTTGTTTTTTTTTTTTTT